CTGGGAATTCCATGGTCAATTCTCTGTATTTTGACTAGGTGTGGCTTTCTGTAATGGTCTGCTACTGCTGTAAAAAGAAGCTTCAATGATGCCGGGTGAGAGCTGCAGTTATCTCTGGGTGTAAGAATACGTATTTAGAACACAATTAGGAATTATACTGGTTTACTAATGTGACAGTAGTACATTATCCTCCAAGATCCATGGCCTCACTATCCATGTGTAGATGGCTAGTTTTACAGTACCAAACATGATTTCTCTCCTGTTAATTGATCCTTGAGTCCAACGTTCCTGAATATATTCTTACCGTAGTTTGGATTTATCTTCCTACTTTCTACAACTCTCCTAGCTCTACCATTTATATACTTATTTAATAACTTAAACACTGCTAATATATCTTACACAAAATTGTCTCTATCAAAGAAATTCACATTCCCTGATAGAATTGCAGTAACACAGAGTCCTATTTGTCCCTCTGAGCTTCTGTTACTATCTCAACTAGGAGATGTTGGCCTAAGAGAACAATGCAATCACTCTTGAAGACCTAGTATAACACCACCTACAAGAAAGCACTCTGGATTTGAGAGTTGGAGATGCTATTTTACAGGATGTAATGTACAGTGTGAACAAGGGCAAGACACAAACAGATGATGCTATTTCTCCCATAAACATAATACATGGGCCAAAGAACAGAGTTCTGGAAAGAATGTCAGCTAATGATCTACTTGCAAAAATGTTTTCATTTTGCTTTTTTCCACAATACTGGCTTCTACTATTTTATAAACCTTTTATTTGTAATATATTACCATCACTGGAGAAACAAGAAGGTTTATTCTGGGTCATAATTTCAGAAGTTTTAGTCTTTAGTCTCTTGGTCCTGATGCTTTAAACTCTGTGGCTACATCATCATGGTGTGAGTCCATGGCAGTTAAGTTCTGCTTACCATATGAGAGCCAAGGCAAGTCCAACCAAGAAAGAGAGAGAGAGAGAGAGAGAGAGAGAGAGAGAGAGAGAGAGAGAGGAAGAAGAAGAGGAGGAGGAGGAAGAGAAGGAGGAGGAGGAAGAGGAAGAAGAAGAAGGAAGAAAGAGGCCATGGTCCCAGCACTTTCTTCAAGGACATGTCCCTAGTGACTTCAATTCCTTCCCCACCTCCTAAGAATTTCATTGCTTTCTAATAGTGCCAAAGGCTAACACTAAACCTTTGACTTGTAGATCTTCAGAACAATTTCTAAAGTGTAGCATTATTCAAGGGTAGGAGATATTTAACGTAGGAAAACAAGAATTGTTTCAATAGAATTAGAAATTGAGATTGTTACTTTTTATCTGTCAGCAAACAAATATGAAACCAATGAAAAGTCAAAGTGATTAATCTTGATTGCTGTTTACTATTATGCATTAATAATTAACCATGGCTTATTTACATTTACCAACTGAGGCATTTTTCATTATAACAAAACATATTTGTACATAGTTCCTTGCATACATGGGAGAAGTGGTAGATATCTGAAAAATGGGATTTCTGAGTCACAGAATATGTGCATATTTAATTTTATACTATGTTGTTATGGTTTAGGTTTTGAATGTCCTTTAAAACCTCATCTGTTGAAGGCTCAGTCCCCAATCTCTCAGTGTTCTGATATGAGACTTTTGTGAACTGGTTGAATCATGAAGGAACTGATGCCATGAATTGATTAATCCATTGATGGACTCATAATAAGATGACATTACTGGAAGCTGGTACAAACTTTAGGGGGTGGGGCCTAGTTAAAGAAGTAGGCCATTGGGTATGTTGTCTGGAAGGGTGAAATATGTCCTTGGACCCTTCTTTTCACTTTCTCTGTTTCCTGGTTGCTATAAGGTAAGCAGTTTTGCTGAACCACATGCTCTCTGTCATTGTAAATGTCTTACCAGATTCATCAACACAATTAACCATTGTCATAGTTACTGTTCTATTGCTGTGAAGAGACCCCATGACCAAAGCATCTCTTATAAGAAAGCATTCAATTGGAGAGTTGCTTATAGTTCAGAGGTTTAGTCCATTATCAGCATGGTGGGAAGCATAGCAGCATGCAGGCAGACATGGTGCTAGAGAGGTAATTGAGAGTTCTACATCAGGATCTGCAGGCATCAGGAAGAAAAGTGATACTGGGCTAGGCTTGAGCATCTGAAACTTCAAAGCCCACCTCCAGTGACATATTTCCTCCAATATGGCCACATCTCCTCCCACAAAGTCACATTTCCTAATAGTGACACTCCCTTGTGACCAAACATTCAAATATATGAGCCTATAGGGGCTGTTCTTATTCCAACCACCACACAAATCATAGCAGTATTTTATAAATTATCAAGTATAAATTTAAAAATATTCACTGGCTTTCCTCTTCTACCTTATACCATTGTGTTAGTCAGCTTCCCATCACTGTGACAATATACTGGAGAAAATCAATTTAAAGAAGGAAAAATTTATTTTCATTCATGATTTCAGAGATAGTTGACTTTAGTGGTTTGAATAAGAATGGCCTCCATAGGCTTATGTATTTGAATGTTTGGTCACAAGGGAGTGTCATTATTAGGAAGTATGGCTTTGTTGGAGTAGGTATAGTCGTATTGAAGGACATGTGTCCCTGGGAATGGACTTTGAGTTTTCAGATGCTCAAGCCTGGCCCAGTGTTACTATCTCATCCTGCTGCCTGCCAATCTGGATGTAAGAATTCTCAGCTCCTTCTTTAGTACTATATCTACCTGCATGCCATGTCCCACAATGATGATAATGGACTAAACCTCTGAGCCACCCCAATTAAATGTTTTCCTTTATAAGAGTGGTCATGGTCATCGTGTCTCTTCACAGCAATATGACACTGACTAAAACAGTACAAACATGCTCCCCATATTTCATGTGTTAAAGTCATAATCCCAGAAGTTATATACTAATGGAATTTGGGCATGGAACCTTTGGAATAATTTGGATTATGGCTGCATTCACAACTTTATAAGAGATCTATCATCCTGCTTTCCTTCAAGCTGTAATGTTGCCCATAGTGTTATGATGCAGGATAAGCATAATTACTAGATACTGCACAGATGCTGCTGCCATGCTCTTTAATGTGAATAAAACAAGCAAGTATCTTTTCTTTATAATTTTACAGTAAAAATATTTTGTTATAGAACTTGAAAATGGACAAGACGGATAGTGCACTGATTTTTTTTGTGGTATTAATCTTGCATTAGTGTTGTGCATACTTGGAAATGCTCACATCTGGGTTTCTTGCATTATGGTGTAGACTGCTTGGGAATATTGCATTGTATAAGAACCGTTAGGCCTTAATTGTTTAAAAAAAAAACTCCCAAATGCTAGTAAGTCATAGGATGCCAGAAGTGGAAGATATCTTCACAGTCAGGCTGTCGATAGCTCATAATTGGTACAGGGGGAAAACAAGTCTAAGACTGCTTAACTTGTGAGGTAGTCAGAGTTGAGTTCCCATCCTCTAGCTTGGTCTTCTGAGCCCTCAGAGTAGTTTGGTGGTACCTGCTCATATATTCAATTTTATTTTTCATATGTGCTAGAACATGAATAAAGTTGTTGTTGGGAGGCAGTTTTTCATGGGTCTTTTGAGTTTCTGCATAGTCTTGCATCTTATGCTGGCATCTGTGAAACTTCCACTACACTGCTACTTGAAAGTAGGGAGCAAAATCTCAGATACTTCATGGCTCCTCCCAGTTGCAAGCAGTTCTTTCAGAAGTTGTTAGGAAGTATTTTGGGATAGTTGTGTTCTGTTTAAATTATTTTTAGAGATGTTGAGGCAAAAGAAAACAGCAAAACAAAAATAAAAGAAATGGCAAGCAGATTATAACCTTGTCAGAACCTGTAATTAAAGTAAAGGTCATTGTAAAATATTCCCAGGCATTATGGTTGGGTAGGAATGTGTGATAAATTTAAATGACTGTTTGAATAGGAAAATTTTCCCATTTCTCCTTTAATGCAACATCTACTAATTTTGCAGAGAATGATAGAAAAAAATTACTAGAAAGTGAGTATATACCATAAGGATAAAGATGGAAATGTAATTGAGGGGAGTATTTTTCACATCTCTTCTAAACCCAAATGAATTAAGGTAATAGTAATGGAAGTATCACCTAAAAGAACCTTTGACTTAAAGCAAAAGAGTTAATGGGATTTGCCCATGGGCCAGATACTAGAGCTAGAAAAAGTGGTATAGACCATGTGAAACACCCCATTTTGCATATGACACATTCAGATCTAGTAAGAGAAGGGTGTCAAGTTCATAGATCACAACGATGGTAATAAAATACAAGTGTTCTTAAGCATTGTGTAATATTTCTCATTATTTTTGTTTATGTACTTTTGCTTATTTGTAACTCAATTTTAGGGTCACTGGAAGGAAAATATCCCTTTATCCCACTTTTAAGGTCCTACTATATGATTGTCTGTTGACTATCTGCCATACTGAGTCTAGATACCAAGGTGTGGCAACTGATTGAGGTTCACTGAATTTTATATAATAACAATTTTGTTTAAAGATCAACTTTTCGGTAATGGCCACTACAAGTGACTAATTATAGTGACTGTAACAACTGCAGTACAATTAGGAATGTTAAGAGGAATTAGAAGCTTGACTGGAAACCTGAATTTCAGTTATTTATTTTTGATATACAATCAGCAGCAATACTACTGGTATACATGCTATAAAACTCCTTCACTTATTCAGCAAGCAGTTATACACATGTATAATGTGCATAAGTGGAGTGGAAGTGCTTAAAACACCATCCACTCACAGGGTTAAAATGACTAGGTCTATGGAAGACTACAGAAAACGTCACGCGGAAGGAATGAGCCTCAGATATCGCGAGACCTGCTACTGTAGTGACTGTCACGAGAGCTCCAAGTTCCATGAGAATTTCAAATCCCACGAGAAGTTGATTGTTGAGGTTCTGGGTAGCCCATAAGGAGTGCGGTGTTACTTCTGGCAGGTCAATTCCAAACAATGCCTTCGAATCTCAGGCCAAAGCAGGGGAGAAATAGATCCAAGAACCGGACTTTCCTCCATGGAGCACGTTGGAAGATAGCAGTTGCTGATAGCCGGTACAGAAGAAAGAATCCTGCCCTCAGGGTGTATCCAGGAGCTCCGGGTTCTGGCCAGAGGGTCAACATGGCGGCTGGCCCTCAGTTTGGCTTCTGTTCTGCAGTACGTCAGTGTTTGCAAAATATGTGGGCCCACAGGCACTTGGGCCTGTTTTTGCTTTTGCTCTGGACTCTGGTGATCCTGTTCTATCTTGTGAGCACTGGTAAGTGTTGATTCTAGGCTAGATAAGGTGTGACAGGAGCTTGGGAATTTTGAGGGAGGTGAGAACAAGTGTGGGGCAGAGTGATGGGTTGTGCCTGGGAAGGAATTAGGGAAAAAAGGGGGTGATTGAGGTACTAGTCGGTAGGAGTAATGGGACCAAAGGTGTCAGAGTGAGACAGAGGGCCAGGGGAATTGATAGAGACTAAGGGGGTTAGTGAGACAGGGATAGAGGGGATGAGGCAGGAATAGGGCTGAGGTGGGGACAGTGATTGCAGGGGCATGTAAGGTTGGGCTGGGTTGCTGGGGTAGGGATTCAGGGGTGAGGCAGGGATGGAGGTGATTAAAATGTGTGAGGTGATTGAGGGTTTGAGTCCAGTGTTGAAATGTGTGAGGGAATTTTTGAGAGGGTAAGGAGGATTGAGGGAGAGACCCATATTGAGGTTGAAGTAGGATTGAGGATGTGAGGTGGGATACCTTGCTCAGCCTTGATACAGGGGGGAAGAGCTTACTTAGTCCTGCCTCGACTTGATATGTCATGTGTTGTTGACTCCCATGGGAGGCCTTTCTGAGAAGTGGACAGGAGTAGGGGGTGGGGACAGGAGGAGAGGAGGGAGGGGAAATTGTGGTTGGTATGTAAAATAAATTTAAAAAACCCTTGACCTCACACACTACCTTTTATAAAATGCCTGTCCTTTTTTAGGGCTAAATAGTATTTCATTGTATGGATTTATACATATGTGTATACACACATTTTACATTTGTGTGTGTGTATATATATATTTATCAAGTATAACAAATTTGTGTTGTTTCTTACCTTTCTGTTACAAATAATGCTTCTATGAGCCTTTATGTATAAATTATTGTGTGGCTATATTAATAACTTAGAATGGAACTACATATTGAATTTTCTGAGGAAGCCATAGATAGATTTATCATGACTGAATCATTTATGTCTCTGTCAGCAGTGTTGAACATTTGTTGTTCCTCTCCCTTTGTGATGATAGCATCCTGATAGCCATAAAGTGGGTATCTTGCTTCGATTTTGACTTGCATTTCTCCAATGACTAATGATGCTGAACATCTTTTCATGTGTTTGGTGACGTTTGTTTAACCTTGGAAAAAGTTTCTTTTAAAAAGATGCCCATTTTAAATGTATTTTTTAAATTTTAATACATTTTAAGATTTTTTTGTGTTCTATATATTGGATGATTGTCCAAGAATATGATTTGCAAGTATTTCCTCCAATTCTGTAGATTGTCTTTTCACTTTCTTCATAATATCCATAATGTCTTTGTTTTATTTGAAATGGCCTTGCTACTTAGCCTAGGTTATGCTGAAACTTGTCAAGATCCTTCTGCTTCTGTCCCTCACAGGCTGGAATTACAGGCATGGGATACCATGTCCAACATAATGTTCTTAGATGTATAAAAATTTAAATTTCTGTGAATTCCAATTTATGTTTTTTCTTTGGTTGTTTGGTCCTTCAGTGTCATATCTAAGTAGCCATTGCCAAAACCAAGGTCATGAATATTATTTCTGTTTTCTTCTAAGAATTTTAAAGTTTTAGTTCTCAAGTTTGGATTGTTGGCCCATTTGTATTAATTTTTATATATGGTATGTGTAAAGATTAAGCTAACTTATTTTACCTTTTGCATGCAACTAATCAATTGTTCCAATATCTCAAAAAGTTTTTAAAAAGTTATTTAATTTTTTTTTTTTTGTGTGTGTGTGTATGTGCATGTTTGTATCGGGGTGTCTTAGAATCCAGAAGAGAATATCAGATACCCTGGAGCTAGAGTTAACAGACAGGTGTGAGCATCCCAACATGGGTACAGGAATCTGAACTCTGGTCCTCTGAAATAGTAAAAAGTGCTCATATTACTGAGCACCTCACTAGCCCCTGTTGTTGCTATTGGGAGTGTATGTGAGTGAATGGATGTTTGTGCATACCATAGTCTGCATATGGAGGTTCAGAGGACAACTTCAGAGAGTCAAGTCAGTTCTTTTCTTCCTGCCTTTATACCTTACCTTCCAAGGATCAAACTCAGGTTGTCAGGCTTGTTTTGCAAGTGCTTTTACCAATGCCCCATCTTGCTAGCACCAGATCAGATTGTTTTATTTTGGCTACCCAATTGGCTAATGATAACAAAGGGTATGAGAGTACAAGAAAAGTGGCATTTAGCTGTACTATTAGTAGTAGTATGCTTCAGGGTTCTACTGGAAAGTAATAGCCCAGTGGTACAATGTGTGAGGCCCTGGGATTAATTAGGAGCACCAAAAATAAATCACCAAACAAAACAAACAACAAAATAAGAATTTATCAAAAATTCTTTTTAAATATTAGCAAATATATAGCTCTAATAATAATAGTACAAGCAGATGATAATCATTGTAATGTTCTTTAAAATAAAAATGAATTAAGAACAACATAAATGTTTTCCTAGATAGTAATTCAGCTATATAAAGGAATTCTGAGGCATAAAGAGACTATTGAGAAATATTTTTTCTTATATGGAATAGAATTATGCAAATGAATCTAAAATTGGATTCTCTGTAATAGAATGAAAGAGGGATAAGAAATGCTTTCTGTATCTTTGTGTGTGAGGATATCAGCATACTTGTCAAGACTTCATTATGTAGGTTCTGATTTAGTTGGGATGCATAATGTTTCTGATTTTTCTTTTTTTTGTTCCTAATTTTTCCACTGATAAACCTTTAAACACTAAGCTCTTTGTTAGGCAAATTTGTTATTTAAGTCATTGTCCAGTAGGCCAATGGAATGTGTGAGCCTATATGTTAAATATTTGTTCATTTGAATACTTTTTCTGTTTTGTAGCAGAATCACAATCTGATTATCAGTGCTATTTACACTGTTACAAGATTAAAATGCAACATCTGTTATATTTCCATAATTAGTTTAAGCAAAGGTTAGTTACTATTAAAGCTTCATTGAAAATGATAAATGCTTCTATATACTGGGATTAATAATTTCACTTATTTACACTTCTCAGATTCTGTGTCTCCAAAAGAGAAATTGCAAAGGCACAGTAAAGCTCCAGAACGTGGATCCAACTGGGAATTTCTGTTGAACTTTTTCTTTCCAACAAGTAAGTTGTTGATTTATGTATGTATGTGTGTGTGTGTGTGTGTGTGTGTGTGTGTGTGTGTGTGTGTGTGTATGTATGTATGTATGTATTAACTTAATGTCCTTGTTTTAAAAAGAGTAGTTAAGTAATCAGGAAGCAGACTTTTCTCAACATTGGAGTGGAACAGACCTGAATTGAGCTCTGGCTCTGCCCTTGGCCTTAGGCAAGACAATCTCTCGGGATATCAGGAAAAATACCCCAGGAATTGTGAGGATGACCTGGGACAATAATTGCAAGGTGAATGTGACAGATTAAGGCTTAAGTTTGTAATTTTTCATAAAATAGTTTTCCTTAAAGCTTTTATAATTTACTGTAAAATTGATGTCTTCTGTGGCATTAAGCAGTGGCACTGTTGTTATGGAGTAAACCAGATGTTTTCCCATCAGTGTTAATAATAAAAAGTCCAGGTTTCAAGTCACATCATATTGTGATCTGTAATGGTGTTTTTTTTTTTATCAAGCACATGATAACCCTTGAGAATTATTAACCACAAATAAACGTTTTATTTTGTACAGCATGTGATCACCTTTGAAAGTGAAGTTTCTCATAAATTGGCATGATAAATATTTTACTAAAACCTATGTAGAATTTATTTTAAGAAAATCTGTTATACTTATCTAAACACAAAATTGAATCCATTGTTTAATTCCAGATCGCACCATTCAACTCTTCGGTGGAAAAATCTCTGTATGCTTCTCTAGTGATTTCATCAAATATAAAATAGCTATTGTAACACCTGCTACCTATGAGAATAGCAAAATAAATTAAAGCTACTGCCATAGGCAAGTTGAATGAACAAGAAAATAAACCTGGGAAGGTGTTATGTTGAATAGGCTAAAAGAAGGGCTTACTGAGTACAACAGTAAGTGACAGTTTAAGCTTTAGAGCTTTGACAACAGAAATAAATGGTCAAACACTTGTCCACTTATCTAGGTTGTTTACAGTAATACAAAAAGTGAAGTGGCCTTTACAATGGTCCAAATGAGATTTGTTTATTTATTTTAATTTTAATTTTCCTAACCTAACACAAGAAATCAAAATCAATTGTTTAAAAACTTTTTCCTCAAATCGAATTGTTTCTTCTTCCTCCCTTCATTCTCTCCTCCTTCCCTCCATTACTTCCTTTTGATTTTTTTAAAGATTTTATTTATTTACAATGTATACAATCTTTTTTAAAGATTTATTTATTTATTATGTACACAGTGTTCTGTCTGCATATATGCCTGTATGCCAGAAGAGGGCGCCAGACCTCATTACAGATGGTTGTGAACCACCATTTGGTTGCTGGGAATTGAACTCAGGACCTCTAGAACAACAGCCAGTGCTCTTAACCACTGAGTCATTCTCTCCAATCCTTCCTTTTATTGTTTTTGACAGGAACTGACATAGCCAAGGATAACCCTCAAATTCTTTATGTAGCCAAGAATGATATTAAACTTCTGTTCCTTCTGCCTTCATCTCCCAAATGCTAGAATTATAGTCACATGCCACCAAGTCTGGTTTTATGTGGTGCTAGGGATCCAACCGAGGCAATACGTACATTAGGCAAGCATTTTATCAACTAGCCACATTTCTAGGCTGGCAGGCAGGCCTCCCTCCCTCCCTCCCTCCTTCTCTCTCTCTCTCTCTCTCTCTCTCTCTCTCTCTCTCTCTCTCTCTAAGAAACATTAGATGTAGAATGATCTACATACTTGAAAACAGAGGATTAATATTTATCAATTGTACATGTTGTCTTTTTTGAAAACTAATTATGGAATACCTAATGGAAAGGATTTTGAGTATTTCCAACACAAACAAATGATACATGTTTAAGGTGATACATATACCAGTTACTTCAGAATAACCATCACACACATACTATGTACATATGTACATATATATTTATATATTTATTGCAAGGTCACTGTGCCCCATAAATGTATACAATTATTATGTGTCAGTTAAGGATAGTTTTTGTGATTCTGAAATGTTCCTTTATATATATATATATATGGTTTTTTTAATTAGCTTTTTAAAAGTAGCATATAAAGGAATAGGTTCTAGTATGGCATTCTCATTCTTAGTTTGTTTATTTTTTGATCTTCTTTTCCAGTCTTATTCCTCGGCTCACTTCAGTAACAACCTTTTGCCTCGTCATAAATATTCTTGTTTGTATCCATTTATTTTTATTATTTTTGATCATGTGTCTATGTGTTGGTGTATGTTTATATATACATGTGTGCAAATGCCCAATGAAAGAAAAGGAAGTGGACTCCCCGGGAGCTAGAGATATAAGCAGCTGTAATAGTACATGCATGCTTTTAACCTCTAAGCTATCTCAAGCTCCCACATATATTCTATTTACTTGTTTTCCTTCTTTTGCCCACTCGTTAAGACCTCGTTTTACCCCCTGTCATAAATCTCCTTTCTAGTTTCATACCCATCACATATTCACACAGATACAAAAATTTTAAAAAAGATAAGATGTGTGTATGAGAAAGAACATGTAGCATTTGTTTTTCTGAATTTGGGTTACTTAATCGAATAATTTCTAGTTCCCTCTATTTTTCTGTAAATGTCGTGATTTCAGAATTACAAAAAGTATTCTTAACCGCTATTTAGTTCCTTCTGTATTATATTTGTGTCACTACCATTCCCCTCATAGCTTATAGTTCTTTTCTTAAAGTTATCTAACACATAAAATTCATTTTTATTCTCATAAATACAATTTTAGATATGAAAATGATGAATTTTAGACAGTGGAATATATTACTTAAAGTATCTCAGGCAACTTTTAAAACTATCTTACCACAGTAGGGATTTAGTTCTATTCATAAAATGTCTGCCTAGCATGCACAAAGCCGTGAGTTTGAGCTCTAGCACTGCATGGAGACTGGGTATGGTGGTGTACATCTATAATCCTAGCAGTCAGGAGATTGAGGCAGGAGGATCTGGAGTTCAAAGCCATCTGTGGCGGGATAGAGAATTTGATATATAGGTCACCTTGGGTACTGGAGACCTGGTCTCAAAAAGATACCTTATTAGCAATTTATGTATTTCTACAGTTTTAACTATTAGTATTTAACTATTAGAATTAACTAAGTGTACTATTAAATAACTGATAATTTAAACTTGTATTTTCTCATTTTAACGTTAGAATTCATCATTATTTATATTTTTTAATGTACTGTGTTGAATGTTTTTCTTTTTCTTTTGCTTTGTATTTATTTGATTATGAAAAGTGTTTATTAATCATGCTAACTATTCTTTCTTGGATTCCTATCTTTGAAAGCATGCATCATAAGGGAGAATCAGGAGGTAGTGGCTTGTAATAAGCAGCCGTATCTTAGCAAGACTGAATGTTTAAGATTCAAGTGCTGCTTTTCATCATCTGGGACCAAAATGAGGTGCTACGCCCCACTAAGAGATAGTAAGTAGATCATGTCTCATTCATTTATTTGCTTTAAATACTGGAAAAAAATAGAAAAACACTGAAATAAATAGATTGCAAAGTTTTAAGTACATCTTTAGATTTTCCAGCTTAACATTTCCCAGGAATTCCCAAACCAAGACCAATGGTATCAGTAGAAATTCTGTGATAGTTCCCTAGCAGTTTCTGTTTAGTCCTTAGATGATAACTATTCAGAATTAGTCTAACCTGTTCAGTAAGTTCAGTCACTCTCCCTTTTCTTTCAATGCATCTAAGCTGCTGTATGAGGTCTGACTCTCTGCCTGAGAGAAGGTACTAGAAAGGTGTAAAAAAGAGTATAGTATGTTCCTTTCTTGCTGCTATGACACAGACGCCTGACAGAAACTTGAAGAAGGGTTCATTTTACTCACTGTTTCAGAGGGTTCAGTCTATAGCTGCTTGGCTCTGTGTATTTCAGCAGAACATCATGGTAGTTAGAACACATCATGGAGGAAGGAGAGTGAGCCATTTCATGACCAACTAGGAATCAGAGGTGGAGAATACAAGAGGCTGTGACATGATGTAGTTGTTCTACTTGGGCCTTACCCCTGCTTTTCACTGCCTTCCAGTGCCATTAGTAAACTGTAAGTCTCAAAAGTGATTAAAGCATTCATTAATTACAGGAGAGCCTTTGCTAATCTGTCTTACATTAATCTGTAATACAGATACATTGAGAGGTGTGCTTCACTAAATCTTTTAGGCTTTTCTGAATCCAAAGTCAATTGCCAGTTAACATTTACTATCACAGGGAGTTATCCCTTCTCACTCATGGTGAAGAGTCTTAGATGGTATTCCTATACCAAAAGCAAGATTAACAGGAGAAGAACATCACAAATTTATTTAACCAGTTTTATGTGACACTGAGGCTTTTGAAATAAGAGCCGGTGATACAAGGTAACATTTAATATACTTAGATTCCCTGAAGCACAGACACATGTAGAAATGATTGGACAAAGAGAGTGTGATTTAAATGAGGACATCTGAGAAGGTCTGTCCAGATTTTTAATGTCCTCTCTGTATAGCATTCCTTCCTCCCAGGTATTCACCTCTGGGCCCTTTTGAAATAGAGATCCTGTGACCTAGTAAGTCAGGGATTTCTTTCTTTTTGTTCTCTCCCTCTTCTCTTCTACCACTTTTGTTTGTTTGCTTGTTTTTGTGTTTTGAAATGTGGTCTCATGAAGCTCATACTTGCCTCAAATTTGCTATGTAGTTGAGGATGACCTTGAACTTCTCATTTTCCTATCTCAGAACCTCAAATGTTCAAATTATAGTCATGTGCCACAGTCCCCATCTGGTAATAGAATTTCTTTATCTTCAGGATTGAAAGGCAGGGGAAGATCAGAGTAATAGTTTTGAGCTTGTGGCTGGCTTTGGGAAAAAGAACTGCTTTCTATGACCTGTCTTGTTGTGAATAAATTCGAATTTCTCTGGCTTTTCCTCTGGGGGAGAGAAGAGTAGGAGATAGGAAGCCAGGTGAAAATCAGAAAGAAATTTGACTTTTTCTTTTCTTTTTTTCTGAGACAGGAGTCTCCTGCATTCTAGTCTGGCTGTGAACTTTCTATATAGCAGGTGATGACCTCGAGTTTTCAGTGATATTATAGACATGCACTACCACACCTAATTTATGTGGTGCTAAAGGTCAAACCTAGGGCTTCATGCATACTAAACAAGCACTCTACCAACTCCTGGGCTTCTAAGGCTGCATCTGAGGCCTTTCTCCTGGGTTATCATATCTGCTTAGTCATAATAACACCAGTTAGGCTTGCCTTAGCTTAATTTTTTGATATTAGTTTCTCTTCCTGTGTCAAGTTATTCCCATTTACCTTGTGTTCATCAGCTTGCCATGTAGCAATAGATGTAATGTTTCCTGTTAGCTGTCTTTAGTAGCTTTTCTTTGTTCTGTTTCTTTTAGAATAATCCAAAGCAAAATTATCCTCTTAAGATTTTTCTTTCTTTCTGAAGTTAAAGAAATAACACCATCTTTTTTTTTCTCCTACTTTCACTTGCTAGTGGGGACAAATTATTTGTTGGTTCCATGATGAATGTATGGGATGTGATAGAGCACTAAGAAATAACAGGATCCATGAAAGACAATAGCTTAGGTTTATATATGGCTCCTCTTCAACTTAGAGCTCTCTGTTGTACATCTAGTATTAATGATGAAAACTAAAGCCTGATCATGAATATAGTATTGAAGTTTTAATGTTGTCATGTTGTATTTATAATTCATTAATCAGTTTACTGTTTCTATTATGTGTGAAGAAACATTTGGTTCTTTTAATGAAAAAAAATTGATCCGTAACTTAAAATTCCCCAGTCATATTAGAAGGCATTTCCCAATGCATATGAGGCTAAAGTATGCTTATTCACCTGCAGACTGTGTTTGAGTGCTTTATATTTTGGAAGTAAACACTGAAGAAGCCATTTCTTTACCAAGTTAACTGTTCATAGATTGATTTGTTCTTCAGATACTCTTAGGATGTAGAACTTATGGCCATAGAACAAGTACATTTAGGGCCATACAAAGAATCCAATATTATGAAACATAATCTGCCAACGAAAACAGCCTCATTATTTTGTTAAGGTATTGTTGGTGGGCACATTTTGAAAGTAGCTTTTAGTTGCATTTCAAGAACTCCTACCTGAAGCATAACAAGGAGGTTCACCGTTCACTTTACTTTATTAATAAAACTGATAGTTTTTTATAAATACTTTATAAAATAGTTCAGATTTGCTTCTTTTGCCGAGGCATAAAAGTAACAAGATATAATTAAACCAACAGAGCCCACACAGATGCTCCGGGTGTTTGGATTCGCTGTGACCAGCATGATAATCCTGGGATTTCTTCCTATGTATTGCTGCTCTCTTTGCCAGAGGAGGTAGGCAAACATAAACCTTTACTTGCTGATTGCTGACTATATGTGGATATTTGTGTGTTGACACATTTCTTCCATTGCTTTAAATATGAAGGGATAATGTTTGGATTCATTTTTTGGGAAAAAAAACTAAAAATAAAATTAGAAATTTTTCTTTTAAAGACATGATATTTTTTCACAAATATAAAATGTCCTGTTTAATAGGCTTTGTTTATTTTATCATCAAACAAAATCCCAACTGGAAGGAAAAAGAAGTCTGCAAGCTGGAGATATGTGGAGTTGGGGTAGCTATTAAATACAAATGAGAGGGATTTCTGGAAGTTGTAGGCTGCCAGGGGTCTTCTATCCTTGGTCTTAAAACATTGGTCTGTCTTTAACATAAGTTATGTCAGATTTTTTCTTAGAGACTTATACAAAATACCAATGGAAAACTAGCACTTGATGTTTCCAAATTTGTTCATTTTTTGTAGATCCCCACCCACTGAAGCAGAATGGGTGTGACGGTACACAGCAACCAGAATGAGCATAAAAAGTGAGGTGGGGGGTATAACTTAATGGCATAGTACTTCTTTTGCATGAGGCCCAAGGGTTCAGTTCCCAGAATTGGAAAAAAATGTTAGAGAGTTGGGAACATAGCATTTAGAGAAATCCCACATTCAGATTCAAGTATGGATCAGCACAGGCATGACTGAGAACAAGTGCTTCCTTCAGTTTTCTGGGAAAAGTTTTGGTTGCATATTAAGCATTTGTGATGTTTTTACACTTTATTTTTTTTTTCCATAGGGATCATCAAGGTTTCAGTTATCACTTTAGCAGACGTGTGTGTGTGTGTGTGTGTGTGTGTGTGTGTGTGTGTGTGTGTGTGTATGTGTGTTTGTAGTACTGAGGATTGAATGTAAGACTGTGTGATAAGAAAGTGCTTCATTGCTAAGGGAAGTGCTGTACCATAAAGCTATGTCTCCACTCTTAATTTCCAGTCAGAGTCTCATTGAGTTGTCCACTCTGACTTTGAACTTACTATGTAGTTCAGGTTGGCCTTGTACTTTTGATTTTCCTTCCTCAGCCTCTGCATATCTGTGATAATAAGCTTGTATGACAAGGTGTAACTTTAATAGATCATTTCGAATTCTTCTGTTAAGTCACAACATTTTTACTATTCTCACTTGCATCCAAGCCAATTCTTTTTCTCAGATTTCATTTAGCTTCAAATTTTGAGTGGATAATTTTCTGTGTGTATAGTATATTCTCATGTGTATGAGGGTGCATGTGCCTGTGCTTGTGAGGAGGCCAGAGGATTTTAGATGTTATGGTCTATCACTTTCTGCCTTATTCATTTGAGACAGACTGAGGTTACAGGTGTACAAGGTCAGTCTGCCTTTTTTTAAATGTTACTGTTAATAACCAAACCCAGATCCTGTGCTTGTATACAAGAACTCTTACTTGAGTGTATGGTTTCTACTTCCCACTCTCTTTCTTTAAGTATAGTCGTTTCATCTTTTTCAAAAAAATTATTTATTTATTTGTGTGGGTATTTTGTCTGCATGCATGTCTGTTCCACGTACATGCTTGGTGCCCAAGGAGGCCAGAGGAGAGCATCAAATCTCCTAGGACTGGAGCTATATAGATGGTTGTAAGCCACCTTGTGTGTTGCTTGGAATTAAACTCATGTCCTCTGGAAGAGCAGCCAGTGCTCTTAACCACTGGGCAGTCTTTCTAGTTCCTCATTAGCCTTTCTCATGGTTTTCTTTTCTTTAGGTGATTGGGAGTAGGAATGGAGGTTTGTTTTTTGTTTTGTTTTGTTTTGTTTTCCTCCATTCATCCCTTTAAAGCTTGCTTTCACATAAAAAAAACCTTATGAATAAATGTGAAAGCTTTGTTAGAATTTGATGGCTAGAATTAGACCTTATAATGTAGAAAGTGTCTGGATAATAAGATTTGTATAATTTCACTTGGATCTTCTATTACACATTTACCAACTAATTTTATGAGGATATTTACATCCATTGGATTCTTTTCTTTAAAATGAAATCCAAACATTATCCCCTGATGAGAACATATTTTATATTTTATGTAATATAAACTGTTTTAGAGACTCAGCCACTATGAATAAGAACTTGAAATACAGATGTTCTGGTTTCCCATGCTATTGTGCTACTATTTTGTATGAGGGGTATGCTCCTTTTGTCATTCTAAGCTGCCTACCATGGCCCCAGTATGGTGATATTTTATTTGTATTAAAATGTTATTTGTATGTTAATAAATAAAGTTTCCTGGGGGTCAGAGCTATTTAGCAAGCCATAGGGAAGCAGGGCAGTGGTGGCATACGTTTGTAATCCCAGCACTTGGTAGGCAGAGCTGGGTAAGTCTCTGTGTGTTCAGGGATACAGCCATTATTGGATACACATGCCAATCATGGAAAACCTGGAGGCCTATACAGACAGGCCGTGAGGAGGTGGTCATGTGGTTGGGTTTACAACCAATGAGAAGGCAGAACAGGAACTCTATATAAAGACTTTAACACAGGGGTAGCTCTGGTTTCGGAGAGGTAGGACCACTGCAGGAGGAAGGGTAAGGTTTTAGCTCTTAGCTCTGACCTCTTGGCTTTCTTCTTTGCATTGGTTCTGTGTTTCTTATTTAATAAGAAGGTTGGTTGCATCTACACCCCAGAACAAATGGCACTTTAACCTAGGTGTTTACCTCTGTTTCTTCAAGACCAGTGGTTGAGAGTAGATGGGACACTGTCAATTTCTCCTGGAAGGCTGATTTTAGAATCAAAGAGCAGATAAGGAGATAAATGGAAGCCAAAGGTCGCAAAACTCTTCCTTTGAGGGGCAAGATACCTCATAAGAATAATCCTCTTACCTCACTTCCCATCTCCATTTCAAAGAATAAAGGACTTAAGATACTAAATTAGTCAAAATAAATGACTCCATAAAATGAAAATAGATGTAGTAGTAGTAAAATCCATATATAGCTATTTAAAAAGGAAAATAGGGAGTGGAGAGAGGACTCAGCAGTTAAAAATGTGTGGTGCTCTTCTTTCAAAGGCATGCTTCCAACCACCTGCAATTCTAGCTCTGGAGGTGTCTGACAACTCTGGCTATACTCACCTCTCTCACACACATATCCATACACAGTTAAGTTTTAAAGTTACATCTTTGAAAAGGAAAAGAAGCCAGACACAATTGTTTGTGTAAATCACAGGAACTAAAAACAAAGTACAGATCTGCATTAACATGATCTGTGCCTCTTGAAAGAATCCTTTGCCATTTCAGCATTGGGAGGCAGCCTTGTGCTCTTCTTATGGCATTCTGTCTTATACATGAGCCATTAGAGTGTTCCTTATGGGGGGAAAACTTTTATAATGACTCTCTTGGTCTTCAGTTGCAAACCAAAACAAACAAGATTTTGATATTCTCTTGCCTGTTTAATTTGGACACTATCTTTTATTTATATGTCACCTAAAGAGATAGCAACTGGCAATAATTGGAGCAATGAAAAATGAGAACAGGTGGGGGAAGTGAAAACAGTGTTGGTGGAGATTATCATCATTCCCCAGAACCAAATAGATGTACTTCATTCTTTTGATGCTTCATGATTTCTGCAGCAGAACATATTTATTCAGTACTAGCTTCACTGTGTAATGTGGAGTGTGCAGAGATGTTGAAGACATAGACCCTATTTTTTGAAATAAAAATTACATATTTATTTATATTTGTGAGTATGTGTCTATGTGAGTGTATACGTATGTATGTGTGTGTGTGTGTGTGTGTGTGTGTGTGTGTGTGCGCGTGCGCGCGTGTGTGCGCGCGCGCGCTGTTCTTTGTGGCCCACAGCATTGAACTAGTTTTGCTTTCTTGAGCATGGATGGGCAACCATTAACTGTCTTTAGTTCCTCAGGGAGAGCTGTGGCCTTGTTTTCTTGGCTAGCCTGGAAGCCAACAAGCCCCACAAATCTTCCTGTCTCTGCCCACCTCAAAGCTGGTGTTAGGGGTGTTTCAGAGGATACATGGCTTGTTATGTGGGTGTGGAGATAGGAACTCCAGTCCTCAGTTGTAGCACGAATCTTAAAAGGTCTCATTAATAAAATCAAACCTGAGGCCAGTTATTGGGGTGAATGCTGGAAGATCAGAGAAGCAGAACAAGCCACAGCAAACCTCACCTGGCCAACTTCTCAGCTGATCTTGTTTCCTTAGACTGGAAGCCTCTGTGTTCTCATATCCAAATGGCTTTCAGCTGAACTGCTTCTCAAAAGCCTGAAAGCTTAACCAGGCTCCTTCCTGGTCCTCACGCCTTATATATCTTTCTGCTTTCTGCCATCACTTCCTGGGATTAAAGGCTCACTTCCTGGGATTAAAGGCTCAACTCTTGGAATTAAAGGTGTGAGTCACCATGCCTAGATGTTTCCAGTGTGGCTTTAAACTCTGCCTCCCAAGTGATAGGATTAAAGGCGTGTGTGCCACCATTTTCTGGCCTCTATATCTAGTGGCTGTTCTGTTCTCTGACCCCAGATAGGTTTATTAGGGTGCACAATAATTTGGGGAACACAATTATCATCACATTCAGTGTTTCAGACAAAACACAAGTGGAATTAAGGTAAGTAGAGATAGCAGGACAGTCTCTGTGGAGGGGTGCCATTTGAATTGGGTTTTGAAGGGAAGGCAAGATATGAATTAGATGGGGAGGGACCTTTCCACAGAATTCCTTATATCGGGAAGGAGATCTCCTTAGTGTATGCCCTTTAACAGCTTTTTGTTTCTAAGCAGAGGAGACTGAACTTTGTCTTTGGAATAATTAGTACTCAGTTTCCAGTTTGCTTCTGCTAGACTTGAGGTGAGATTTGATATAATCCAAATACACAGAAACTTGAGCCTGTTTGAATTAGTTGCATAAATGCAAAAGGGAGGAGATAACATAAGTGAAAAGCTTTCCAAGAATTTGCTACTAAGTATCTTAATTAAACTTGCATGTAAGATGTATTTTGAAATTCACTGCACCCTCAAGGTTGTGTAACATCTATTTTTAGCCTCATTAATTGGGATCAGTAGCTTCATTAGGTTTAAGTGCCACCAATAGACTTAAGACTAACTTATATGAAGAAGAAGGAAAAGAGCAGGTGGATGGAGACAGTAAGAAGCAGAGGAGGAGAGCTCTAAGAGCAGGGATGGGGTAGGGAGAGGAATATTTGAATCACTATCATTAGATTAAGTTTATCAAGCTCATTGATTAAGTTTATAAAGCTCATTGATTTTCACAAATAACCAATTCTTTGTTTCATTTTTGTTGTTATTGTTGTTTGTTTCTATTTTATTAATTTCAGCCCAAGTTTGATTATTTCTTGCCATGTACTCTTTTTGGATGCAATTTGTTCTTTTTATTCTAGAATTTTCAGGTGTGCCATTAATTTGTTAATATAAGGTCTATCCAAAGATTTTTTATATAGACACTCAGTGCTATGAAATTGCCTTCATTGTGTCCCATAGGTTTGGTTATGTTGTGTT